CCACCTCACACCCCCCCCACACACCCCCCCTCCTCTCCTGAGCATTAGTGTGGTGGTGATGGTGGAGCAGCTCAGGGAAGCTGCGTACCTCTGTTTGTTGTTTGGATTCGGTCCAGGACGACGTCCCTGTGTGGGAAACATCACGCTGCAGTGACTCCGTTGTGTCTTTGTCACTGACAGTTTGAAACGTTAGTGATAAACAATGTCAACAACATGTGACCAAACATGAGCAAACATCAACAGGATATTGTCATTCCCAACGAGGATTTCATAAACTATTTCCAACCAGTCAAAAACCGTACAGGTTCGTTTTGTTCCAACGACCCTTCGCCGCCTTCGTCGTCCATCCACCACCTCCTCCTCCTGACCTGGACTCTGTCTCTCTTTAAACTACGTCTCCGACACTTTTCCCCTTTGCTCCTGTCATCGTTACTACGACCACTAGATGTCACCTAGCAACAAAATGACACTATGATGTCATAATTATCTACCTTGTAACTTTAGAACGACGCCTCGTCTGATCTGATGTCCTCATCAGCAGGTCGACATCCTCCAGAACTGGTGGAAAAATAAAATGAAATTCATGAAATTACTAGTTTGTTAAGGTTAAGGGACGTCTGTTGTCATGGTTACAATAATAAAACCACCTGGTCACGGTTAGAATAAACCAACTTTGAATGTCAGTAGGACATTTAGTTTTTTTTGGCAGCATGTTTGTGCATCACGATAATGAATGGTCAGGGTCAGGGTTGTCTTTTATTTTGAAATATTTGCCTTTACTTCCGTGCCACCTGACTCCCTTTATCGTTCTTAAAACAAAAAAAAACTCATTTGCAAACACAAAAACTGGACCACGTCTTCCAATGTGATGTTCTTGTCCTTGGTTTTTTCATTTTGACAACAGCAGTTCTTACGTTTTTGGGTTCAAACGTAAAAACAAACTGCCTGAAAAATAAACGGACCGTCTTCACAGCCCCCTTGGATCATAGATTCATAGATTCAAGGCTCCTCATCCGTCATGGTCAGTGGCGCTGTGGCGTTCACCTGTTTGTGTTTGACGTGGTACAAACTCCAGAGGAACTCCGCAAGTGAAAGACAGTCGAGGAAAACCACCTCCAAAATGAAAAGGGAGGAAATGTGAGACAGTTTTTGAAAAGCAGCATCACTGAGACGATCACGCTATTTCCTCTTTCTTTTTAAAATCTATTAATATCGTCGATTAACTGATGGATGAATCTCCACACTCTCACCGACAGCGTTGGAAACGAAGGCGGAGAGAGCGACAGCAGACTCTCGTACGTCCGTCAATGAACTTCCTCGGCCTCATCATCTGAGGGTTGTGTTCGTTTATGTCGCCTCCATCCAAAGAACAGAGATAGGAAGAGATGTGTTTCTGTGTTTCTGAGAGGAACCTGAAAATAAACTCCAACTGCAAAAACAGAAAAAAGAAAAGAATTATTTTGAAAGTCCTGTGTTGTGGAGATGCTGTCAGTACTGGTTAAAATTGTATTGAAGAGAACAAAAACACTGATTATTTAGTCCCTCATTCTTCGGCCCTCATCAGCAGCACAGCCATTGTACTGGAGACAGTGTCTGGCTCTTGTTTTTAACTCTGCATTAAATTAATGATGAACTTCATACGAATATTCCAAAACATTAAAAAGAACCAAACTTGGCAGCGCGTCCCTGCTTTCCCTCTAAAACCGAGTTGTTGTTGTGACCTTTTTTATGGTTCCATATTTTCTTCCTCTTTTACACAAACAGCACAAGAAGAAGCTGTGAAACATTTTAACAGAGCGGGAGGAATGTAGAGAGCTGTGGTGTTTTTTAACTTTTTCCAAATTGGTGAGAAAGCCAGCAGCGATTCCCCTTTAAAGTTCTGCAAATATTGTCTTTCAGTGTGTGTGTGTGTGTGTGTGTGTGTGTGTGTGTGTGTGTGTGAATGCCTGTGTGTTTTCCTCCACTTCTTCCACAATGGAAGGCATGTCATTTGAAGTAATTATCATTATCATTGTCAGATCGTATGTCCGGTGGCATTAGCGGAGGAAGAAATCCGATCCAGCAGAGTCTGGCTCAGGGATCAGGCCCGTGGACCTAATAGCACACATCTGGGATAAAAGGGTGCTGTGGCATCTCCCTGACATTCCTCTGTTGTTCCAGATTAGACGGCTCTAGTCTTTTAATTCCCACTCTCTTGTTGTCTTATTGTTTTCAGATGATGAGGAAGGACGTGGGTCTCATCTCCCGTCCCTCCCTCACCAATGGCAGCAGACCGTCGTGGAAGCGAGCAGGAGGGTCTGTTGCTCGTTTTCCTCGCAATTTAGCAACATCTGACGGTTCAGATGTCACGCCGCGCGGCGCGGATATCTTTTCCTTTCGTCCCCCGCGTTATCTTATCGGTGACTCCTCGCCAGCTGTTTGAGAGTCCTAATCGCAGGTTCAGGTCCCAGGTCACGAGTCCAGAGGTGGAGATGTGGCAGCCGCAGGTGGTTCTGCTGAAGAGGTGGTTTTTCGGTTAGGAGAAGCATGCTAGCACAGCATCAGCATCAGCTTTGTTTGGAGTGTTAGCATGGTAACGTGTGTTATTTGGCACTAAAGACAAAGTGCAGCTGAAGGCTGGTGGGAGTCTCATTAGTTTAGTTTAGTTTACTGGATGAATGATGATTCTGACCTGATGGCGGCTCTGCAGGAGACCTCACAGGGAATCACAGCTCATCCCGAGAGAACACAGTCTCAGGCCGAAGGTGAGATATTTCACCACAAATGTCGACCTCATGGCGGTGAGTCGTTTCATCCCCATCCTTTAACGTCTTTACAATCCGTCCAGTCGCTGCTAAGATATTAAAGACGTGATAGTTCAGGTTGTTTGACGTGGGGTTTTGTGAGGTCATCCGCAAAAAACATGTTTTAGCCACCTTTAAAAAAAACTAAACAAAAGCCCGCAGAATAAAGCTAATCATTTTAACTGTTTAAGCGTTTTATTTTGAAAATTTCCAAAGCTTTATCTGCAGTCAAACAGCCGTTTCACTCTGAACTGTTGAACTACCGTGTTTAGGGTCTTTGTTTCCCGGGAAAGAAGGAAACCCTGAACCGTGTTACTACGCACAAGCACAACTACTTTTAAGTTATTTTTTGGGGCCTTTATTCTGAAAGCACTGTGAGAGAGAGATATTGGAAAGTCACAGAGAGAGAGAGAGAGAGGGGGGATGACATGCAGCAAAGGGGCCACGAGTCGGAGTCGAACCTCCAGGGCTGTTGTCAGACAGAGCTGAACGTTGTGCGTAGGAATACAGTAGTTCAGCGGTTGGAAAGATGTAGTTCCAAGGGAAAGGGCTGTCTGAAGGCAAGATAAAGCTAGTGAAAAGTTTCAAAATAAAGCGTACACTTCAACTGGTGGACTTTTTTTTTTTTTTAAGTGAATCTGCTGCAGGTAACACACTGACTGTAGATCAGTTCCTCACACAACCCCCACGACCAATAACCAGAGACACGGAGAGACACAGAGTCCAGAGTCTGTTTCTTTCTTTCTGACAGGACCTGACTCTGTGATGTGCAGCATCTATAGCTAATTACTTTCAAATGGTTAACCATAATGTTGCTGTGGAAAACAGACAGTGTGTACCCGCAGATGGTTCAGCGTTCAGGGCTTCTGAGGATAGTCTCCAACCGTCAGCTTCTAACGGTTTTTTTCTACACAGACTAGAGTCGTGAAGTCGTGTCTTATTTAACTCGGCGAACCAGAGACAGGAACTTGTTTCTCAGACTCTGAGAGTCCAGGGGTTGGTTGAGTTTCCCAGCGGTTATATTCACAGGAAAGAACAGGTTATAATATGCATGAGACAATGCTGCTGAAGATTACACTATAACAAACTCTTCTTGCATCTTCTGAGGAATGAGAATGAGCTCAATGGTCCACTTCCTGTTGATACAAGACGTGAGCTGATGATGAAGACTGTGAGATGCAGCTGAAAGCTCTCACTTCACCAGTTATCACCAAATATCGGGAAATAACTCAAGGATCCAAATGTTTGGATCCTTGTTTTGGCTCAATCAACATGTGAGGTAATAATAATGATTCATCTTGACAGCGTCAGCGTCGGTAAATCCAGACGGCATCAGAAACATGTCTGCGACTGGGAGAAGTTATTAAATATAAGTGTCAAGTGTTAGATAGAGTAAATCCACGTCTCTGATGTTTCACATGTCCTGTCAGAGATGTTTTCTTTGATTTGTTACAGTCCTACTGTTTCAACAAAGACACAGAGAGCAGAGGCGTCAGCCAGACGTTGTTTTGTCTGAGGACATCTGCCGTTGGACGACAGTTCAGCATCGCTGGTGGATCACAATCAGGAGGTTGCAGACGAGGGCACGAGTGCAGGAGGGCAGCTGAACGGCGGCGTATTAACCCTCTCGCTGCGGGGCAACAAGGTGTGAACTGTGGCCGTTTGAGGTCACCAGGATTCAACCACAGCTCCTAAGATTTTGATGAAGTTATTTCTGTGCCTCAGTGTTTGTAGTTTTGTATCCAGCTCGTAAAGAAAGCAACCGACACAGACGATAAGAGCCCAGAATCCTTTCATCCCTCTGGGTTTAGTGGTCCTCAAATCACTTGGCTGTAACTTCAGCCAACGTAACTGGAAAGAAATAACAAGCTGTGTAATTATATATATTCTGTCCACATGTTGATAACTCAGCCTCCTCTTATGTTTGGTCTGCATATATATTTGTAAAATACTTTTGTGGTTGCAGACACATGTTTGGCGTTAGTGTGAAAGCTTATTAAGTTGTATTTATGGCGGTGATAATCTCCCATAGTCGAGCTGATTTACTCGGCTGCCTTTTGAAGACGGAGAGCGGCGGTGGAGCTCTTATTTAGGACGTAATGCATTTCCCCGGCTGTAAAATCGAGAGGGGCTGCATAGCTGGTGTTTTATGATGCAGCGCGACACTAATGTAAACTGGAGGGAAACAGCGGTATCTATGGTCCAAGTGCAGCGGCGTGCATCCGTATTACCAGAGGCAGAAACAAGTGCGGCTGAACTCCGCTGTCAGACGTCCATCCTTCATTAGTGCTGCAGCAGGGTGTTGTTTTTAAAGATTCTCTAAGAGCAGAAATGAGTGGAGAGAAGTCATAATATAAAAAGTGAATTCCCCCGTGGCTGAAAAAGAAAAGCAGAGCTTAATTCATACAAGCGCCTCCTCCGCTGCCGCAGCTGTACTTCACTGTTTTAATGTACTAAATCATAAAAATGAAGCGCAGGCCTGGTGCAGTCCCACAGCACACTCACGCCTCTGCACGCTACGGCGAGCGAGTCACAAACAAGTTCATAACACAATATAAAGGCTGGAAATAACACACGGGACAGCAACTGGGATCAATAAGTTCATAGTTACTAATGTCCTATAATACCAACAGGAAATGACCCAAGATGTGCGCTGAAAAAACAAAACATATGTTTTTATATTTTATAAATTCACAGCTCACATCTGATTCGTAAAGACGTGATTCCAGATGTTAAACTGTCGATCAGCTGCATCGTATTTACAATCTGTGGGACAAAAGTTTTTCAAATCAGTGTCGAGATTAATAATTTCATCATTCGACTCTGAACGTTGGTTTCGACGAGGATCTGATGACTCAGAGCGAGAAACTCTGAGGGACTTATCACGAGAAATGATGCGATGCCATGTACAACAATTTAACTTTCATAACTTTTATTGACAAACATTCTTCTGGGGATTTAGAGTTAGAGTTAGAAAGAGTTCAAAAATAAATTATTATTTAGTTCCATGTCAGAAAAAACAATCAAAAATAATAATAATGATAATAATGACTGTGTTTCCTTAGATTTGTTTATTTAAATTCAATAGAAGGTAACTTCTTGAGTGAATGTTAGATTTGGCCAAAATAAGCAAATATTGATTAAAGTCTTCATTGTTTTTAAGGATTGTTGAATATTAACAAACAAATCGTCACGTTTCTGTGAAATTTCTTCACCAAACTTTACCAACTGAAAATCAGCCCATGATCATTAAAACATGTTTAAATGTTACAGTGTTTTTCTTCTACTTCTGTATTGGAAATGTGTTTACAATTTACAATTTATCAGGTAAATTTTTACATAACAGTTATTAGATTTTGAAAGGCAACACATATTATATACATTACAATACAGTATTGGAGCTCATTTATATTGGGCTGTTGCTCGTCTCCGGTCAAAACCAGGTCACAACACAAATGAATTAGGACTCCCCAGGTCCAGGTCCAGGTCCAGGTCCAGGTCCAGACTGAGCGCCTGCTAGATGTCTCTCATCGACTGCGTCTTTAAACTGTTGATAAACAGCGATCAAGCGCCGATTATTCTCTGATCTGGAGCTTTTTTTTCCTTCTAACTAAAATCATGTAGTTTGAACTTAGCATTAGGAGCATTGTTGGTTGTCGTCCTGTTGGACGTGTGGGTGTGACCTCGGCTTTGAACTCCACAGTTGGATGATAATTACATCGCATGTTAGTTTCTATATGAAAAAAGGCTGTCTGCAGTGTCTCCTCTGCAGTGTCTCCTCTGCAGCGTGTCCTCTGCAGTGTCTCCTCTGCAGCGTGTCCTCTGCAGTGTCTCCTCTGCAGCGTGTCCTCTGCAGCGTGTCCTCTGCAGTGTCTCCTCTGTAGCGTGTCTTCTGCAGTGTCTCCTCTGTAGTGTCTCCTCTGCAGTGTCTCCTCTGCAGTGTCTCCTCTGCAGCCTGTCCTCTGTAGTGTCTCCTCTGTAATGTCTCCTCTGCTGTGTCTCTTCTGCGGTGTCTCCTCTGTAGCATGTCCTCTGTAATGTCTCCTCTGCTGTGTCTCTTCTGCGGTGTCTCCTCTGTAGCGTGTCCTCTGCAGTGTCTCCTCTTTAGCGTGTCCTCTGCAGCGTGTCCTCTGCAGTGTCTCCTCTGTAGCGTCTCCTCTGTAGCGTGTCCTCTGTAGCGTGTCCTCTGCAGCGTGTCCTCTGTAGCGTCTCCTCTGTAGCGTGTTGTCCCTGTCCCTGTGCATGCAGTAACTTGTTTACAGGAACAGCTAGAAACACGCGTGAACCATTTTCCCGGTGTGATGTTAACAAGTGACACTTTGTGGAGCAGCTCCATTAGATAGAATAGAGACCACGTGTGACTTTATCAGCAGTATTTCTCTTTTTTGGGGGGGGGGGGGCCGAGAGAGAGATTGGTTGGTCTCTTCTTCTGCGGTGGTGTCTCGTCCTGTATGCGTGTCCTCTGTAGCGTGGTCCTCTGCAGCCGTGTCTGTGTCGTCCTCTGTAGCGTCTCCTCTGTAGCGTGTCCTCTGCAGTGTTCCTCTCTGTAGCGTGTCTCTGAGCGTGTCCTCTGAGTGTGTCCCTCTGCAGTGTCTCCTCTGTAGCGTGTCCTCTGCAGCGTGTCCTCCGTAGCGTCTCCTCTGTAGCGTCTCCTCTGTCGCGTGTCCCTCTGTAGCGTGTCCTGTGCAGCGTGTCCTCTGCAGTGTCTCCTCTGTAGCGTGTCCTCTGCAGTGTCT